CAAGTCATAAAAGAGCCAAGGTTGCCTACCCCTGGTCTATACCAACACAAAGATTGCATATTCCCATGCATAAATGCTTTTTCACCCCTTTGGGCTGAGGAATCCTCTGGCATAGACATGGGGAAGGTTGGGATAAGCAGCCTCAATCTCCTTCTCCAGGAATTCTTAGATCTTATTGGCTTGGCTGCTGGGGTCACTTGTACTAAAGGCAATCAAGATACTATTGGGAAAGGATGCAAAACTTTTCCAGGGCTTTGAATGGGAAGCAGCTTGAGCAAAAATGTAAGGCATTTGATAAAGTAGACCACAACCTACTACTTGGTAAGATAGAAAAATGTGGGTTAGACAGCATCACCACCAGATGGATTCGTAGCTTGCTGACCGGCCGTACTCAGCGTGTGGTCCTCAATGGAACTGTATCTATATGTAGGGAAGTGTGTAGTGGGGTGCCCCAGGGCTCTATTTTGGGCCCAGTGCTCTTCAACATCTTCATCAACGATGGGGAACTCATCAAATTTGCAGACGACACCAAGCTGGCAGGAATAGCCAACACTCCAGAAGACTGGCTTAAGATACAGGAGGATCTGGACAGACTTGAACACTGGGCGCTATCCAACAAAATGAAATTCAATGGTGAAAAAAGTAAGGTTCTGTATTTAGGCAAGAAAAACCAAATGTACAGGTATAGAATAGGACAGTGGTTCTCAACCTTTTTAATGCTGCGGCCCCCAACCTGTCGTAAGTCGAGGACTACTCAACCGGTCATAAGTCGAGGACTACTCAACTGGTGCAGCACCGTTTGCAGAATGGGACTTTTGGCGGACTCAGCAGGGCAGAGACAGCCTGGACAATTCCTATTGGCTTTTGAAAGCCAATAGAATTAGACTCTATTCAAGAGAGTCTATTCTATGGCTTTCAAAAGCCAATAGAATAAAAGGGAGTAGCACAGCTAAGGAAAAGGGGAAAAAAATGGCGGACTGCATTGTTTGGTGACCCCCGTGAAATGGTCATTCGACCCCAAATGGGGTCCCGACCCACAGGTTGAGAACCACTGGTATAGGAGGTACCTTGCTCAATAGTAGTAACTGTGAGAGTAACTAACTCGGAGTCCTAGTGGACAATCACTTAAATATGAGCCAGCAGTGTGCTGCAGCTGCCAAAAAAGCCAACACAGTGCTAGGCTGTATTAATAGAGGGATAGAATCAAGATCACGTGAAGTATTGATACCACTTTACAATGCCTTGGTAAGGCCACACTTGGAATACTGCATCCAGTTTTGGTCACCACAATGTAAAAAAGATGTTGCGACTCTAGAAAGAGTACAGAGAAGAGCAACGAAGATGATTAGGGGACTGGAGGCTAAAACATATAAGAAATGGTTGCTGGAATTGGGTATGTCTAGTTTAATGAAGAGAAGGACGAGGGGGGACATGATAGCAGTGTTCTAATATCTCAGGGGCTGCCACAAAGAAGAGGGAGTCAAGCTATTTTCCAAAGCGCCTGAAGGCAGGACAACAAGCAATGGATGGAAACTAATCAAGGAGAGAAGCAACCTAGAACTAAGGAGAAACTTCCTGACAGTTAGAACAATTAATCAGAGGAACAACCTGCCTCCAGAAGCGGTGAATGCTCCAACTCTGGAAGTTTTTAAGAAGAGACTGGACAGTCATTTGTCCAAAATGGTATAGGGTTTCCTGCCTGAGCAGGGGGTTGGACATGATGACCTCCAAGGTCCCTTCCAACATCATCATCATCATCATTATTATTAACTCCTTGACTTGTTATCCTCGGTTGGGTTCACAAACTGTATTAAGTCATGTAGTTTATCTAGGTTTGACTTAACAGATTAAATAACACTTACCACTGCAGTATGTAAACTATGGTTTATGGCATGAGTAAACTTAGATTTTGTGGCTTAAACCACTAATCACAGCTAAGGCAAATCATGTTGTCCTGTAATACACAGATCTAGCCTTCTCAGTCCATTCGTCTCTTTTTAAAGCTCTTCTGTTGGCAGAAAATCAATGTTTTCTTAAATGCAAATTGCAGTGATGAGGAAAACTGTATTTCATTACTTAATGTAAAAATCAGTCTTTATTCTGCAGTAACTCCCCCCTCGAGGAGGGAGAGCAATTCCATCATGCCTATCAAGCATCAAATGTCCTTACCCAACTTCTCCCACGCAGATAACACAGAGGAAGTATACAGAACCCTTGAAATACATCATGTGATGCGTTAAATAAAATTACCTCTGCCATCCTCTAGTAATTTTCATCAACAGACACAGATATAAACATTGTGCTTTATTGATATTTGTATTACACACACACACATACACACACACACACACACACACACACGTCTGTAAGGTCTTCAGCAATAGGAAGTACCTCTGTCTCGAAACTTAACCATCCCTTCTTTGAAAATGATTAAATGTGTAGTCCTTGCCCAGCAAGAAATAGACCTCTAGGTCTGAGGATGTATGTAACAATTCGTATCCAGCTCCAAGTGAAATCACAATAACTGGGGCCCCCAAATCTTGGAAATCTTGTCACCTTGTTAGATTCAGCTTTTCAAATCAGCACTGCTTTGATAAGGAAGCAGAAAGTTGTGATGTCTTTCTAAACATAACTCCACATGTAACCCGTGCCTGTTGCTATTCTTGCAATTTGCTTACATCTTGGCACAGGAAAGGACTCCCATTATCATAGCCAGTGACAATAGAGACAATGCATATTTGTTTGTTTGTTTACTTGCTTGCTTGCTTTAAAACACCACTATTATTCCTTGTTATACTGAAGCTGGAACATTTGTACTAAGTGATTTAAAGTATACGATTTAAAGTATGCCAACCAATTTGGTTTTTTTTTAAAAAAAAAAAAAGATAAAAACCTTCATTTCACCAGTTACAAAGCAAGACAAAAATAAACAAAGCAATCCAACATGAATTTTATGACAAACAACATACAGAATTGGGAAACATTAAAAGTGGCACTTTTATCCTATAAAAACAATGAACAAAAAGTACCGGTTCTAAAACAATTCAACGAGTCACTTTCATGTTTTCATTTTTTGCCAGAGCCTGAAACAATTAACATCTACTTGTTGTACCTCAATGAAAGCCTCATCTCTGATGTTGGTTATTGTTCATATGGCACCAATGCATAAATGAAGAGAGAAGCAACGGGATCTGGAGTAAAGGTAAGGATTAGTACGCCTTCACTTCAAAATCCCAGCAACACGGATCCCTTTATTTTAACTCTAATTTATCACTTTCCTTTCTCCTTAAATTGAGAGTGGCTCAAATTTCTTTCCTACAAATAAAACCATTAAAACCAAATAAATGTGCCAAAACGACGGCTGTAGGGTTGCACAAAATTCAGCATTTCAATAAATGTGATTAATTCCTAGTAAATGCTGTAAGTGAAGGGAGAACTAACAATTGGGGATGTTTTTTTTTACCTCTCACCCCCAATATGTATAAAGTAAATTTCTCAAGGGTGAATCTCTCATAGATTTGCTAGATTTAAAAATGGCCTACATAGCTCTTCATTCTATTAAGAATTTGATCTGTAGCAATGTGATGGTGATAGTAATTGGGGATCATCCTTCATGCTGTATTATATTATTTGCCTAATTTGGGGTTAATATGAGTGAACCCAGTCAATCGGGGGTTGTTAAACAAAGCATAGAATAGCACTGACCCTAGCCCAGGGGTGTCAAACTGCCGGCCCATGGGCCGGATGCATCATAGCAAAACCACGCCCACCCCATTGCCGGCAATGGCAAAAAAGTTGCGATACGTTGCGACACGTTATGTGACGTTGCAAGTTTGACACCCCTGCCCTAGCCTCTATTTATCTTTATGCTATGAAAGCTTTAGCTTATGTTTCTTCATAATGATCTCTATTGGTAAGTAGTGCACACCAAACGATTTGGGGTTTTTTGCCAGGGATATTCTGGAACAAAAAAAAAAAAAATTGGATTGCAGCCTTTGGAGACAGTTTGCAAATCCAAACAGTAATGTATCCATTTATCTAATACACAGAGTCACTTTAGTCTAGTGGTTGAGGCATCAGGCTAAAAACTAGTAAACTGAGTTCTGCCGTGGTCCCATCTCAGGCATGAAAGCTTGCTGGGTGACTTTGGGCCAATCACACTCTGTCAGCCCAAAACCTTGGGTATGGGGACAACAGCTCAGTTCCCGTCACAACCAATGGATCAACAACCAGTTGGTCTGAAAAGCAGACTTTGCACTTGTGGGAAAACTCTCGGGCAAAAAATGAATTGTGCTAAATTTTAGCACACCTATGTCTACCAGAATACGCCTCGATTTATCTGGAGTATTTTATGCACTCTTTGCATAAAAGCTATCACAAAGTGAGCGTCAAAGCAGGGTTGACTATTGCCTCTTTACACTTGCAAGTATCCAGGCCCAAATAGTCCAAATCAAAACTTGTTAAACTTGCTTTTCTAATTTCAGTTTTGTTGTATGGGAATTTTTTTCTTGAAGGAAGTTGGTCTAATTTGTGTAATGAAAATTTTAAAATATTTCTAATGAGCATCCTGGTCTAGAGCAGTGGTTCTCAACCTGTGGGTCAGGACCCCATTTGGGGTCGAACGACCATTTCACGGGGGTCGCCAAACAACGCAGTCCGCCATTTTTTCCCCCTTTCCTTAGCTGTGCTACTCCCTTTTATTCTATTGGCTTTTGAAAGCCAATAGAATAGACTCTCTTGAATAGAGTCTAATTCTATTGGCTTTCAAAAGCCAATAGGAATTGTCCAGGCCGTCTCTGCCCTGCTGAGCCCGCCAAAAGTCCCATTCTGCAAACGGTGCTGCACCAGTTTAGTAGTCCTCGACTTATGACCGGTTGAGTAGTCCTCGACTTACGACCGGTTGGGGGGGGTCATGGCATTAAAAAGGTTGAGAACCACTGGTCTAGAGGTATGTAATCTTCTGGAAGAATAGAAAGCAGAAAGACCTGGAAGAAACTTCCTGACTCAAAAATCAAGGTAAGATTTATTTTTTTTTTGCAATTACACACAGCTCTGGTGGATTTTGATTTTAGAATATAGCAAATCTATGTTTCTTTACTCAGGAAGTAAATTCTACTATGTTTATCTGGGCTTACTCCATTATTTTATGAATGTTCATGACATGCACAATTTAATCAATTTAAAATGTTGGTTTTTACCCAGATATGTTCTACTATGGAGGGCAGAAGGAATGGGAAAAGCTGTGTTTGTTTAATGAACAAGGAGAACAAATTTATATTTCCCATTTCCTCAAAGCTTTAGTTTCAATGAATTTCTATCTCAGTCCAATCACAAAGCAAGATATTTTATGTAGTTTACTCACTAGAGGGCAGCCTACTAGCGTCCATAGCATCCTTCTCTTCTTGTGTGGCTTTCTAGCACTTCTAACTGGTAGGAGCTGAATTAGGTAGATGAATTAGGCAGTTTATAGCCCTTCAGGTAGATGAATTAGGCGGTTTATAGCCATTCAGTAGATGAATTAGGTGGTTTATAGCCCTTTCAGGTATGACTATATCTTAAGGAATTCTGACCTGGGCAGGAACAGGACAGATTTGTTCAATCAGCATTTTGTGTTTCTCAAAAGCAGCAGTAGCAAAATATCACTAATGGCCAGATTCCTTCAGAAGCCCTTGAAGCTCAAGGTCAGTTCAAATCCAACTGAGTTCAACAATCAATTCAAGAATGCACACCTGAAAATACACCATCATGTTTGTACTTGGCTCTCATGGGCAAAGAATTGAATTTCCTTTTATATCACACTCTTATTTATTTTTTTGGTTCACTCAATGTGATTTAGAGGGGAAAAAAATAGCTCAGCTGGCAACCATCAAAGCAGATTGATTGCATGCACACATATATAGGTTTTCTGAAATATCCACTGACATTTTAGTCAGACATTGGCAATTCAAAGGAACACCCAGGAACCAGCAGGATGGGCTCTTAAAACAACCTGAATAATTGTTCTGACCATATCAGTGCTGCATGGTAAATTCTACACTTGGCCACAACAGTGACCAGTTACGGAAGAGAGGAACATGCTGTTCAAAACTGCGGAGAAGCCATTGAAAAGAGCAAATCACAGCCTGGTGTCTCACAAATTGAGATGGATTTCTGCTTTTTTAAAATGCCTATTTATTTGGTGGAATCTGAAACACCTGGGTTATGTCAAGGTTGTGTATTCTGTAATAAGCCCTTAGGGTAGGGAGGAGAGATGGTGAGAAAAAAAAGGGGGGGGTTGTTCCCAAGTCAGGCTCTTGTATAAATGAGCTTGACTCAAAAGAATCATAATAATGCCATAAAATTCAGTGTGCCTTTATGCCCTTTCAAACAAAAGTACAGTAGTTACTTCAGGAATAAGAAGACCTCCCTCCTGTTATCATTTTTTTTTTGTAGCAAAGATTAAGTTGCTGCTGGTCTCTTTTCTTGGTCCTTAATCTGACAAACAATTCCATATTCCATTCTAGCAAAGAAGGAAATATAAAGCTTATTGCTTTTCAAAAAAAAAAAAAAAGTCTCTGGCTCTGGCATCTTCTGCATAGGACCATTGAAAAATTTCTGCCCCCTTGCTTATAACAGTTGGCACTCTCTCCCTATTGCTTGTGGTTCTGAGGTTATTTGGAGATTATTTGCTGGATCTTCCACAGTTGAGAAAGAAAAATATTAAGTTGCTTGTAATCATGAATATCTAAATGCCCATAGTGGAAATTGGCTTCCTACACGTTCAGACTCTTCTCACTCCGATATGGAGATTCCTAACAGCAAAACAGAAATATCACAACATAGGCAGAACCAAGAGTGCCAAATGTCTTACTGAGAGGTAGGAGCAAAACCTAGTCATCTCGTAGCTCATCCATGGGCATATTGGCTTCTTCATTGAGGTTGCTTGTCACAAGTTCTCAGAAAAAGTACCCTTATCCTTCATATCCACCCTGAGGATTAATCATTTCCTCTACTGTTACAATATTACTAGAGGAATATATTACAAATATCAGCATCCTTTTTCTCAAGAAGTTTGTCCCTTCAGCCTTACGGCCAACTGTAAGGCTCAGCACATGCTTCGTTCACAATTAAGGCCCCTCTGCTCGTAACGGACAGAGGGTTGTCGCAGAGTGCAACACTTCCCTGGACAGCATAGAAGGCTGGCTGTATCAGAGTTGCTTCCAGTGTTGTCCATCTGTGGGCAGAGCACTTTGGTTTGGAGCAGCTGTTAGCAAGTCTCTTTCAAAACCCTACACTGCAAAAGTAGGCATTACTTTGTTTGCGTACAGGAATGGATTCCAGTTTGGACTCTGTTTCCTCAACTGGTCCTATTTGCCTTGCAGGTCCAATGCCTTTGAACCGAAGAGACCCAACCGAAGACAGCTGTTGATCCACAGTGCAAGACGGAAAAACTGCAGTGCAGTTGTTCTTCAGAAGCCCATCATTGGTCTAGATAGGTTGCTTACTATGGTCAACATCACAGAGGCTTTGGAGATGAATAGAAGTCTGCTTTTGCAGTTCGCAATCACCATAAAGTGTGATTGCATTAAGGGTTTTTCAGCTACCCGTGAAAAGTCAGAAAAAGCTTCCAGCCCCCAGCTATGTCCTCTGAGCATCAACTTTGCTGAACATCCGGCTGTGCCAGTAATCTGGATTATCGAAGGCACAATCTGAGGAGTCCAGTGTGCGCAAGGGTTTCATGAAAATATTCTTGGGACAGGGTGGACTCTGGCAGCCTTGACACTGGACTGCGGGCAACACAGTACCCATTTCCTCATATCCCTGCTCATCTGGGGAGCTCTGGGTGATGCCGGAATCCATATCGGTATAGTCTCCCTGAGAACTGAGGATGCTACTCAGAGACTTGCTAAGTTTGGGCTGTTTGTTCATATACTCGTAGTCCTCTTCCTCGTCTTCATCCTCCCTGCAAGGTGTAGTCAGTTGGGAGCTTGGCACACTGCCCAAAGATGCACTCAGCTCTGAGCCAAGATCCATATACTCATAGCCAAGCTCCTCCAAAGAGGCTGGCCGGGGTTGTGAGGACTGTGGAGTGCGGCGGTTCATGTACTCATACTCTTCCTCCACTTCATGTACCGGGACGGAGCCACGCATCAGGGAAGCAGTAAGGCCAGCAGCACGCTCTGTTCAAAACAAAAAGGACAAAGGTGTTGTTCTGTGGTCACCTGGGATAAGAAACAGCCATTGCTAAGATTGAGACAAGAATCCCCCTGAAATTAGTATACATCTGTGCAGTAAGTGAATTCAGCATTGAAGGATATGGGGTCTGCTTCTAGGAACAATGGAAGAAAAAAAATATATAAGCAGACTGTCTAGTGTTGCAGATAGGGTTACGCTTACATTGACTCATCCCTATTCTAAGGAATAAGGTAAGAAATAACAAAAAAACAACCTCAGGTGCAATCACATAACATTGCAAAACTGAGTGGAAAGCAGAGAATGAGATCATGGAAGCTGTACATGCAACTCCACTATAGGGCCATACCAGTTTCAACATCTGGGATAATTTCATTGCTACGAGGAGGAGGAGTGGGAGAGGGGGAGGAGGAGGAAAGAGGTAGCAGCAATTCCCCTAAATCATAGCTTTTGTTTATTCTATTTCAGTGTGACTGTCTTCACTTCAGAGTAAGTAAGTCAAAGTTATTAGCTATGGCCAACCGGAGCAAGTCATGGTGAAAAGAGAGCCAAGATTATCCCTATAGGGCAGATCTGATAATAACCCTGGTTTCCCCATCACGGTATGGGTACATTAAGTGTTCTTTGTGGATGAGAACATGGATTGAATCTCATTTCTCTGCAGAGCCATTTTTGTGCTGCTCTTACCTCTGCCATTTCGATCTGGCATAACATAGCCATTGGCATCCTCCTCTCCGTCAGCATTGCCAATGGGCAGCATGAGACTCTCTCGCTGAGACAGGTAAGCACTGTCTCCCCGGGACTGCAGGCTGCGGCATAAGCTTCCAGACAGTGACAGATCCTCCGTGAGGTCATAATCTGAGGTTGTGCCTCGTCCTTCAGAGGACTCCGATATAGTACGGCCCATCGACTCCTGCCTTATGCGCAAAGTCTGCCGGGAGCCCACTCCTGTACCCTGGATCCAAAAGGGGTCAGAAATCAGGTAACGATAAAGATTTATTGAGACTTGGAAGGCTCCCATTTTCTCTGATTACTAGAACTAGTAATAGTACCCTATAAATGACTCTTTCTAAAATTCTACAGCTCACTTTGTCACTGAGGAGAATTGTGGGAATTGAATTCCATGCATCCAGAAGATACTTAGGTTGGATAATGCTGTCCGAAAGTTTTAAATATATGGAGCCACTTAGTTATGCTCCACAGTAGGCCTACCCAATTTGGAACCACCCAAGAAGGCCTAGGGCCTAGGCCAGGAGTAGGCAACCTTGGCTCTTTTATGACTCATGGACTTCAACTCCCAGAATTCCTGAGCCAGGCCTAGGCCTTTGGTTGTCAATGGTAGTCCATCAGAAGCTCAGAAGCTAAAAATCAGGAAGTTTGTCAAGGGCCTAACATGTACAAATACATGGCTAGTGACATTCAGAAGTCACAAATTATGAGGAATGGTCAGCAGGGAATAGCCTTTATCTGGAAGGTCTCTACCTGAGCTTCTTTAATAGCAGACACCAGACCTTCTAACGTAGCATTCTCCAACCCGGCACAGTCCAGATATTTTGGAGCAGAGCTCCCATATTTCCTCATTAACATAACCCAATACTTGCACTATCTGGAAATAATAGCGTGAGTCACTTGGAGATACATTAGGAAAAGCTAATTTTTCTGAAGAGCATTAAGGCTTTCTCTTTCCTGCCACCCACTAACAACACCCTCCTAATTCACTGCCTCCCTCCCATCATATTAGTGGTGGTCCTATGGTGGCTTATTGTTCTCCAGCTTTTTACCTCCAAACACACTTAGAAGAAATCCATACCTGCCGACCTCCACCAAGGGTGCTTTGATTCATGGGGATGTATCCAGCAGAGGAGTTCAGAAGATTTGGAGGCTGAAGTAGATTTTTTAAAAAAAAGAAACAGTGCTGGATATCATTTGTTGTTTTTTTCTTACTGTATACATAGAATGGTTTTATTCTGCTTTCAACAAAAGATTTCAATTATAATATCATATAATGAGACAAGAATTAACATTTGTTAACCTTCATTTACAAATGTGTCTTAATCCTACATCTGTACTTTCTCCCTTGAGGAATGCACCTTCCAGACTCCAGTTGGCAGAGGCTGTAGGGAGGGCAGAGAAAGAGGGATACTGGGGTTGCACTGGCTGGAAGCCCACTCTCAAACCTGAGCAGCAAAGCCACTCTAATGGCAGCTCCTCCTGCACCGGTCTCCAGGTTTCCACTCCATTGAGGATCCAGTTTGACTCTCTCTCTCTTGCAGTTTCCAGAGAGCCCCAGTTCCCCATTTAAGACCTGATAGGATCAGTTACAACTCTTCCTGCCTATCCCTAGGTTATCTCCTGACCAGTTTGCTGTATATTAGGCCATCTTACATTCGTCTGTTTTCTAAGTGGGAGAAATAAAGGTAATAGCAATAGCACTTAGACTTATATACCGCTTCATAGTGCTTTTACAGCCGTCTTTAAGCGGTTTACAGAGTCAGCCTATGGCCCCCAACAATCTGGGTCCTCATTTTACTAATCTCGGAAAGATGGAAGGCTGAGTCAACCTTGAGCCAGTCAGGATCAAACTCCTGGCAGTCAGCAGAATTAGCCTGCATTCTAACCGCCATGGTTCTAATAAGGTAGTAGTTGAAAACAAAGCCTCTTCCAATCAGCCAGAGCAGTGGCCCTCAACCTTTTGGGCGCCAGGGATTGGTTCCATAGAGAGAGGTTTTTCCATGCACCGGAGGGGGTGTGGTTTCACATGCTGCCTGCTTCCTGTGGATGGGGCTTTGCTTGTTTGCATGGCCTGATTTCTGGCATGCCGCAGCCTGGTGCCGGTCCATGGACCGGGGGTTGAGGGCCCCTGAGCTAGAGCAGCAGAACATTGCTTCTCTCAGTGCAACTGAAAAGCCAGCGTTCTCCCAAGTAAAACAGAACCTTCTGGTGTGGTCCTTCAATTAATCACCCAACATCAGGAATCTCACTTGTCCCCCAACCAATCAGAGCACAGCCAACCCCCCCATCCAATCAGAGCACAGCCAACCTCCTAACCAATCAGAACACACCTCCATCCAATCAGAACACAGCCAAGCTCTCATCCAATCAGTTCATACCCCCACTGGCAGTTAAAAGGAAGAAACAGCTACGATCACACATTGCTCCTAGAAGCACGAAGCCGAAAACACCAGCCTGAAGATGACGAATGAGACTTCTTCGAAACGTTGCCAAGACACTTCCAATTTGACGCAGGATGGTGATTTGATGGTGATTTGATTGGTGGTGTCAGTATAAATCTAATAAATCACTCTACAGCTTCAGTCCCCAACTTTCCAATTCTGTTCTCAAGTAGCTGTGAGGAGCAGGGTCACAGAGTATGGTAAGGGGGAACCTTCTTACCCGTGTGGAGTCCACCCATTGCCGAGAGGCAAAAAGGTTGTGAAGTTCCTCCTCCTCCAACTCCGATTCCATCTCCAGTGTCTCCATCTCGTCTAACTCCTTTTCGCTGAGTGAGGGCGGCTCTACTGGAGAGAGCGTCCCACTTTCTCTCTGTGGGGAAAGCCAAGCATTGCCCTTTAACATTATTTCAAATGGCAACCTCTTAATACCTTGCCTCAGCAGCTGCTTAGCATTGTCCTTAAACGTCATTGAGAGGAACATGGTGCGAGCAGAACATTTCATCTCAGGATAAGAGGCCTCTAGTGTAGAACTGAAGAAAGGGAAGGAATAGGGCTCCAATTATCCTGGGAGTCCCTTCCACACTCCCTGGAGGTCTTGGTTTCTGTAACATCCAGGCATGATGAGAGAGAAGATCCAAACTGTACACAAACTGCAACCAAACTTATCCTGGCAGAGCTATTTCTCTTACTATACCAAGCAATATGCTATGGAATCACACCTGTGTTTCCAGCAGGTTCCATGGTGAGCCTTGGGGCTTTAAACGCAGTGTTTCTCAACCTTGACAATTTTAAGGCATGTGGACTTCAACTCCCAGAATTCCACAGCCAGCCATGCTGGCTGTGGAATTCTGGGAGTTGAAGTCCACATGCCTTAAAATTGTCAAGGTTGAGAAACACTGCCTTAAAGGCATCTCTTGCCATGCCAAAGAACTCAGCTATGAGGAGAACTTATGAAACTACTCTGTTCAATGGGGCATAGCCACTTTCTGGTAAGATAATTGCTTCAGCTGTGACATAGGAAATGTTTTATTATCCAAGAACATATTTCCATTAAGAAAAAGTTTTGTACTGGCATTCCACCCCCACCTCCTACCTATGTTTCTCACACAGTATATTTCTATTTGCCTGTCTTGGAACAGTGAAACATGACCAGGTCCTGTCTAATAAGCAGGATGTCACTACTGACCAAATAGGACTACAGAAAGAAAGCATGAGCACATCTCACGGATGTAACAAATGCGTGCTTAACCAAAGTGTTGAGTATTTCACACCTTTAAGGTCCTCATTGGTTTAATTTGTAACTTCAGCTTGGAAAGAGAGTCAACAACTGACCTTAATCACCAGGTAGCGAGGAGGGTCACGGGCCATTCGTGTGAACTCATTGGCTAGCTCTTTGAAGGTGGGACGAACGTTCTCATCAATCATCCAGCCTTTAAGGTTAGAAGAAGTGAAAATCTTTCAAATAAGCACCAAATACCACATCTCCTATAGTTTAGGACAGAGGTAGGGAACTATGACTCCTTTATGACTTCGGCATTCAACTCCCAGAATTCCTGAGCCAGCCGTGCTGGCTCAAGAATTCTGGGAGTTGAAGTCCACAGGTCATAAAAGGATCATTGTTATAAGACATGTATCCTGAACATTAGATCTTGTGATGTAATGTGATAAAGGGAATTGGGGTTATTTAAAACTTGGAATTTATAAATATTAATAAATTAAACATTAATGGGAAACTAAAATTGAGAAAAACTAACCAGGACATTGATTGTCAAAAAAGATTGAATGTTAAAACAACTAAGATATGTATAAACAAAAATTATTGATAAATGTAAGAAAATTTTTATTTAAGCGATATAATAAGAATTGTATTAATCTAAATATGAGACAATAAATAGTAAGGGGAAAAGAGAGGAATTATTTAATGTAATAGTTTGTGATCTGTACTAAAGATATTTGTATATTATTGAATTATTGACCAACTCAGCCACCACATTGCTTTTCAAATATTTAAATGTAAAATTAGAAAATTAATAAAAGAAATTCAAAAAAATAAAAATAAAAGGGTCATTGTTCCCCACCTTTGGTTTAAGATAACATCAGAAGCCTATGGTTTCTGGATTACTTAATGAAAAAACATTATTTTAGAAGCTGTTAGTGAGGCAGGAGCATAAAAAAAATATACATACATTTTACCATCACCATGTAGACATCAATGGTGCAGATCTGGGGTTGTGAGAGGCGTTCTCCCTTTTCCAGTAGATCAGGAACTTCTGAAAGGTGGATTCCAGCATAAGGTTCTCCTCCGAAAGTCATCATCTCCCATAATGTCACTCCTGTTAGGATGAAAAAATGTGAGAGAACAGGTCAAACTAGACATTGCATGGTTAGCATGGTTACATATACCTGTAATTTAGGTGAAAATAGAGTTCTAATTTTTTTTTTCAATCCAAGTTCACAACTCTCCTGAAATCTGTCCATGGGAGCTCTAGGTTACAAAGCCATTTTAAACTTTAAAACATTAAAGAAGAAAAATCTCCTGGCACCCAACATTGTAGATCAGTGGTTCTCAACCTGTGGGTCGGGACCCCATTTGGGGTCGAACGACCATTTCATGGGGGTCGCCAAACAAGGCTGTCCGCCATTTTTCCCCCCTTTTCTTTGGCCACACCCCTGGCACCCGGTGATATATAAGTGGTTGGGGGTCACCACAACATGGGGAACTGTATTATGAGGTCACGGTATTAGAAAGGTTGAGAACCACTGTTGTAGATAGTCTCTGAATAAGCCAGAAGATTTCCACAACCTCAGAAGCAAACATGGCACTGAAAAAAAGTGACTTATGACTGTTTTTCACACTTATGACCAGTGCTTTTTTTGTAAAAAAAAAAAAAAGGTGCTGGAACTCACACACATCATACAACCCGCCTTGCCTACCTTACAAGGTTCAATCCCAAAAAGGTGCCAGGACTCCATTCTGGGCGTTCTATGCCAAAAAAAGCCCTGCTTATGACTATTGCAGCATCTCCATGGCCATGTGATCAAAATTCAGATGCTTGGCAGCTGGCTCATATTTATGACGGTTGCAATGTCCCGGGGTCATGTGATTCGTTTTTCCGACCTTCTGATAAGCAAAGTCAATAAGGAAGCCAGATTCACTTAATCCCCATGCTACTAACTTAACAAATGCAACGATCCACTTAACAACTGTGGCAAGAAAGGTTGTAAAATGAGGCAAAACTCACTTAACATTTTTTTTTTTTACTTAGCAATAGAAATTTTGGGCTCAATTGTGATCGTAAGTCCAGGACTACCTGTACTGTCCATGAGTGGAGAACCACAATTCGCAAGTAACAGCTCTTAATAACCTAGTTAGCAAAAAGATTCCTAAAAAGCAAGAGGAATGTTGTCAGGACTATCAAAATAGTTGCCAAGAGAGTGGGCAGATTGTTCCCGCATTCTTCTCATTTATTGCATGTTTGGATCTGGAAGGAAGAAACTTACAGTCCCTTTTCCCCATGCATAACGAGGACAAATACTTCACAGTTCTTATGCTGATGGTTACTGACAAAAATCTTTATAGAGTATCTCTAAGTTCTTAATTGGATCTGTTCATCAAAAGATCTCAAAGTATTTTAAAGCTTAATGAAGGCAGGTCTTTTACAGTAGGGCTGTGGGAATCACCCTTGATCTGATTTAAATAATTCAACAACATGAGTCAATGCAAACCATAAAATCTGAGGAGCATTTGGAAGCTATAGCTGGTACCACATGTGGTGGCATGGGCGGCTCTTGGGACCTCTAGAATGGTCCGTGTTATTTCGTAAGCTGCAAATGGTTGCCAGTTTGCTTCCAGTTGCGATTCAAGGTGTTGGTAAAGCCCTGCATGGCATGGGCCCAGGCTACTTGAGGAACTGTCTCACCCCAATGGGACTGGCCCGCCCCACCCGTGCTGGCCAAGGGGGCCTATTGCAGATCATGTCAGCCAAAGAATTTTGGCTAGTGGGATCCAAGAGAAGAGCTTTCTCTGCCGTGGCTCCTGCTCTCTGGAACATTCTGTCCCCTGAGGTGAGATTGACTCCCACCCTCCTGACTTCGTAAGAGCTTTAAGAGCTGCTCTGCCAGATGGCTTCAGGACCCAATTGGGGAGCTTCGTACTGGAGGTGGTTGACCAAACTTAATCCATATATCCGGCTCCCTCTTTCGCCATCTTGTGTTAATGGTTTTATTTGCTGTGTTATTTTTATAATCGGTGATCGTACAGGTATTCCTTGGCTTATGACCACAACTGAGCCCAAAATTTCTGTTGCTAAGTGAAACATTTGTTAAGTGAATTTTGCCCCATATTGCAACCTTTCTTGTCACTGTCGTTAAGTGAATCACTGCACTTGTTAAGGTAGTAATATGACTGTTAAGCCAATCTGCTTTTCCCATTGACTTTGCTTGTCAGAAGGGGATCACATGACCCTGGGACACTGCAACCGTCGTAAATGTGAACCAGTTCCCAAGCATCTGAATTTTGATCAGGTGACCCTGGGGATGCTGCAGTGGTTGTAAGTGTGAAAAGTGGTCATGAGTTACTTTCTTCAGGGCCACTGTAACTCTGAATGGCTGCTAAACGAACTGTTGTAAGTTAAGGACTATCTGTAATGTCTTCTGATGTTTTTATGTTGTAAGCCACCCAGACTCATTGGATACGAGATGGGCGGCAAATAAATTTCATAATAACTAGATGAAAATAAGTAAATAAAATCATCAGACTGAGCTAATTTGATTGAGCTGGTCAATTCAGTAGCACTCACTTCAATTTACTTCAACACATTTATTGTAAGATTCATCGTGTAAAGATCGTCAACTGAAATCTTTAAGTTCAATCTTTAAATGTAATATTTCAAAGCCTGAATCTGTCTCCCTGTCTTGAAATGCCGGTTTTATCATTAGGGACAAATCTAAAGATCTAAGAGCTGAGGTGGCGCAGCAGTTAGGGTGCACTACCGCAGGCCACTTTAGCTGACTGTGTTCAGCAGGTCAGCGGTTCAAATCTCACCGGCTCAAGGTTGACTCAGCCTTCCATCCTTCCGGGGTAGGTAAAATGAGGACCCAGATTGTTGGGGGCAATGTATATATATATATATACATTGCTTACTGGTGTACACCACTTAGAGAGTGCTTGCACTTAAAGCAGTATATAAGTCTCATAAATAAATAAATAAATAAAGACTAAGAAAGCAAACCTAGCTATAACTAAGCAGGATCAAGTAAAAAAAAAAACTATAGGTAGAGTAGAATATTTGTATCTCAGGGGTGAAATAAAGGGTCATTGGTGCCCTTTGATCTTGATTGTTTTCTTGCAGACATTTCATTACCAAACTAGGTAACACCATCAAACACCAAGGATCCCTAAAAATGTCTTGATTTCTGGAAACTTATAAACAATAACAAAGATTGAGCAGCTACAGTCAAATTCTTAATAGATGGAATAATCAGACACATACCATAACTCCACACATCACTTTGGTGTGTATATTTTCCAAAATGTATACTCTCTAATGCCATCCACTTTATTGGTGTCTGAAAAACAAATCAGAAAGGAAAAGTCTAAGAATGAATTTGATCTACACATACATGGAGACACCGGTAGATAGATAGATAACCTTTACTGTCATTTTTTTCCTGTGGGCACAATGGCACACATTAAAAATGAAATTTAGTTGCTTCCTCTCAAAGTGCACACATACATAACAGTAGAAGTTTCTTCATGGGTTGAGCAGCTATGAATGTGATTCCTTTTCCCACTGGAACTTTTGAAATAAAATGGTCCTTTAAATCTATTTTTGTCAAATTGTAGCTCACAAATCCTTGATAATAAAACCTTGACACCGTTCCAGTCAACCAAGAGTGTGAGAAGAGCACTATTCAATTGGTGTCCTGACTCATTTGACTGCTTGAGGAGCAATAAAAATCACTACTTGGAATATAAAGATAGCTTTACTCCAGTTTCAATGACCTAGTGCAGAGCTACAAGTAATTAACTTTTCTCCCCAATGTCTGATTGTGAAATCAGGCATATCTACAGCTGAATCTAAACTGGTACAAAACATTCATGCAGAAGTGCTCTTATACACATACACATATACCCATCCATCCATCCACTATCTTTCACTGAAGCAGGCACTAACCTTAATTTCATTGTAAAAGTATTTCTTATCATCTGGGTAGAGCAAATCAGCAATGCCAAAATCTGCCACTTGTACTTGGCTAGGGGATTTAACCAAAACATTACGGGCAGCCAGGTTGCGGTGTACCATACGATGTTCTTCCAGATAGTACATACCCTGAATATTAAAAAGGAGGTATTAATTTTGCCATTTCCGTGAATTCCATCATCATTACATTCCTCCGTTATGGATATTTCATTATTTTTACATCTTCATGCATATAGTAGTCTCAATACAGTTACCATATAAATAAGTATTTTCTAATTGGTTATCTATAAGTCCCAGTAAGAACAGTTCTGGTTTCATCTGTGTATTAAACTTTAGAATTCTTTGTATCACCTATGCATTTCTATCCATTTTTCTTTTTTTGCTTTTTCACAAGTCCACCATGGATGATAAAATCAGTCTTCGTATGAATGACCGTATTCCAAAGCTCAAGACAGTTGGATTCATTGTGGTTTGAGCATCTGATTCACAATATTCTATGCTAACCCTGCCCATACATGTTAGCTCGGCTCATCCTAATATAAATCAAGTATTTCATTTCATGCCCCCTCTCTTCAAGAGATTGTGAGTTTTGAAAGGGCTGCAGATCCCGGGATCTGTAAGAATTTTCATCCAAGAACATTTGGGGAAGAGCAAAATTGAAGGAGGTTGAACATTTGTGGAACTTATGAAAATATATTACATCATAGAAACTTTTGAAACAAGTTTTAGGATGTACACTCAGTTCACATTAGATAGATCTGTTTAGGCATGTGGCTGCATTGTATGAGTCAAAAGAACAACCAAGAACACCCTTGTACAGACACATAATGCAAGGTAAGTTAAAAGAACATAAAAAATATTTCAGGGAAGTTTCTCCAAGTCCACTTATGTCAGTGAAAATGTACTTGTGCTCCTAGACAGTATCCTGTGTCCTTAAAGTTTTGCAATTCTTCTATCCTGCAGGTGGCCCTGGGGTATATCTCATATTATTCTAGAACAGGGGTCCCCAACCCCCAGTCCGTGGATCGGCACTGGGCCACGGCATGCCAGAAACTAGTCCATGCAAACAAGCAAAGCCCATCCGCAGGATGCAGGCAGTACATGAAACCACGCCCCCCTCTGGTCTGCAGAAAAACCTCTCTCCATGGAACTTGTCCCTGATGCTCAAAAGGTTGGAGACCTCTGTTGTAGAAGATTCCTGTTTCCGAATTAAGATATACCGGAAGTAGAATGGAAGGCATTCTTTCCCTCAAACAATGGGAGATCCTAACTGACCTGGAAAAGGATTCTAGCTGTTCTTGTACAAAACCTACCTTGGCAATCTGGACACACCAGTTAAGCATCAGCTGAGGACCAATGGCATCTCTGTTTTTGCGAATATACTCCAGCAGGGAGCCCAATGGGAGAAGCTGGGTGACAAGTTGCAGCTGGGGACCAATACAGATGCCCAAGAGACGGACAATGTATGCGTGATCCAGGCTACCTATAGCTAGCATGTGCTGCACAAAAGAAAAAGAAAGGCATCAGGGCAAAGTTTTGATTGCAGCTGAAAGTGAAGGCAGGAACAGGGAAAGCTCCAGGGGGTAAAAAAAAGTCTAGTGCTGATTGAACACAGAATCAACAGTGGTACTCCTTAGTCACGGCTTCTTCAGACTTTTCACTATCTACCCATCCACACACCCCTCACCCCCTAGTCTGCCTAAGCATATATAACAGATTAGCCATCTCCTCCAAACAGTGGCTAAGAAAAGCTTCCAGCAGACTGTCAGTCTGTGCTTTCAATACTAGTTTCTACAGGGGTAGAGAGTGGGGATCAGCAGCAATGATGGTGCTATTGAAAGAGCATCAGATAAGGATCCTTCTTGCAATGCTAATGCTTGGTATTATCTACAAGGTACTTTCTTTGTCATTTTAATGCACATGGACAGGTTAATTTGGGCATCATTTGCCAAAGATCTGCCCTGCCCATCATGCCCCAATCCGTTGCCAATACCATGGACCTCTGTACACCCTTATGGCAGTTCTCTTCCAAAAAAAATGGGATATAAACGCCCTGTGTGTTTTGACTTTCACATAGATGACTTAATTTACTAGAGTTTCCTCAGTCTGACCCCTACAGGATTATAGTTCCCAATTTCTAATCAGCATAGAGAACCAACACGTCTGGAAGGTGCTGTTACAGAAATCCAGATTGTTACAGAATGTACCCTGCTTGTGGTCAGGCACACTTCTTTCACTGCCTTATAGGGTAAAGAGTGCATTGGCCTCTTCTCCACTTGCTTTTCAGCTCCAAGGGGTCATTAGAATTCTCCTAGCTCTTGATTTGGATGCAGCTGGAAGAGGAAGGAGACTTATTCCTGGCGTACAAGTGGAAATTTACAAAAGGAGGTTTGCATTTAAAAATATCAGTGGGGACAGACATCCTCAAGATAAACTACAGATTCCTCAAGATAAACTACAGATTTAAAGTCTGTAGTACCTAAAATCAGAGGAACAATAGTGTTTGGGGAAGTGAAATCAATGGCTATAACTCCCCCTTGTTTTTACACACAGATGCATGTTCACACACACAATATCATGTCCTATTCCCAAAAGACTGATATGCAAAGAAGGTGGGATGTTGAGAGTCAGATGTTGGTAGACTGGCTAAAGTGGTGACTGGCAGTTGTAGTCCCACCATAGGCATGAAAGCTGGCTGGGTGAATTTGGGCCAGTGACACTTTTAGTTAAGTTCACTGAGTTATATACTAAACATGTGGGATTAAATAATAACAACTTATGTTTGACCACCACCCTCTTCCACATTAAATGTTTCTGATTGGGACTACAAAGTGAAAGATTATGAGGACCATAATCAGTAATCACAGATGCAAAGTCTTCAGTCCTACATAGAAATGCTGAGGTGTGCCCATAAAAAACCAGCAGCTCAGGGGTGAAGTTCACCATACATTCAAATGTACTTTTGAGTTATCAGTTATTAGCAAGTCCAACACAATTAAAAGTGACCAGCAAAGCTGAATAAATATTCAATCAAAAGCAACCAATTCATATCCAGATCAACTGCACTGAAGATGATTTCCTTGCAGTTGAAAAATAGGAAATCCGATGCCTTTTGGGATTTACTGCACTTTACCCAGAAATTTATCAATAGATAATGATCTATTAATTTCTTGTTTGTCTGCCTCTGCATGAGAAGGAATTTGTGGAGGCCAATCACACCTTTTCTGCTTGTGAACTATGTAGCACTTACATCAGTTACAGCATGGAAGGACTGTCGACCACTTGGATCCTGGATAACTTTGATGCTTACAGGGATCTTAATAGAGTCTCCTTCTGGAATCCAGACACCCTAAAATGGGAACAACCAATTGTTTAAAATGAGAAATCATGCATAAGACAATACATGTTGAGGAATCACTGGAAATCATTTTCTTCTAACGTTCTTTTCTATCTTATCCTGTTTGTCATTCAGCAAAACTCCAAATGGAATTTTTTCTATTTGCTGCTCTTTTGCGACAATACAAGAAGCAGAGGATCTCTTTAGTCTAAACTGGAGCAGTGATGGCTCTAATTAAAGATCATATTTGCCCATCATCGGAATTTTTAATAGCTCCATCTCAGCCAAAGTAGAAAGTCACATTGAACTGAGTCACTTGTTTAAGAGAGACAAATGCAATGTTATTCAGAAACAGAAAGCAAATGTAGAGAATGAAGGATGCTTGATTTGATAAAGTATTTGTGAACTATAGCTGATCATAAACTGAATGTAGGACAATTTAGCTGCTAAACAAGGCAATTTCAGTTTTAGGCTGCATCGACAAAAACATTTCAATTAAATCATGGAACCCAATAATTCCTTTTTATTCTGCTTTGATCCAACCACAACTCAAGTACTTGTTTAATACTGGGCGCTGCACTTTCGGAAGATGGCAGACAAATTGGAAAAGGTTCAGAAAAGAGCAGTGGAGATGATCAGAGACTAAGAACTAAGTTCTATGAAGAAATATGGAAGTTACTTAAAAAAATGGTTGAGAAGAACTATGAGATAATTTTCCCCTTTGATTATCTAGAACAGGGGTGTCAAACTGCCGGCCTGTGGTTGGACGTATCAAATGGAAGCCACGCTCACCCCATTGCCGGCAATGGCAAAACAGTCCCAATACATTGTTTGACATGTCTGATCTAGAAAGAGTTCATGTACAAGAATATTGGGGTGGTTTTGTGTGCTGCCTGCATCCCACGGATGGGGCTTTGCTGGTTTGTGTGGCCCTGCTGCTGGCATGCTGCAGCCCGGTGTTGGTCCACGGATCGGGGCTTGGGGACCCCTGGCCTAGCTGCCAATTCTTCTCTGCTCCTTGCTACATTGCAACTTGAAGCAGCCTGGGGCTTGGGGACCCCTGGCCTAGCTGCCAATTCTTCTCTGCTCCTTGCTACATTGCAACTTGAAGCAGCCTGGAACATGTTTAACCACACAGAAACAGAAGCTCTTCCTTCCAGGTTTCCAACTTACTCTATGCACTGTTCCAAACACGCCTGATCCTAGAACTTTCAGCTTCTTTAATTCTGTCTCCTTGAAGATTCGAGCCAGGACCTTGTTGGCTTTTTCGCTGGGATCCAGAGGTTCCAAACTCTTAAGAGGAAAAAAACCCAAAAGCAGGTCAGGTGCTACTTGTTTTCTCAGTATTCCTCTTTGAAAAGGCAGGGGTGGGCCACTTTGGGGGCTAAGAGCACAAAAGGATTGCCCCTAGAAACTTGCCTAGTTATAAAATGGATGCAGTAACAAAGCAGACATTTGTGAGAAGAAAAGACTAGCCTTCTCAAGTTGACTGCTGCCATCCTAGTGGGATTTTTGTAGGTGTTTGAAAGCTTTGCTAGATATAAATATGATGCAGAGTTATAAATATTATGCTGAGAGCCAGTTCTTTGATTCACAACCAGCAGATTTTCTAATCATTTATTTTTGTTAAAACAAACATCTAAAATCAGGAGAGCAAGGAACCTCAGGCACCTTTGTACCCATGGGCACAATGCTGCTTATTCCTGTGATAGTAGCATCATAATTCTCAAACATATCAAAAACATTTAAGATTTTTAAAATAAGCTTCACTTCAACCTACAGAAACCGTACTAGGATGGCAGCAGGCAACTTGAGAAGGCTAATCTTTTCTTCTCTTCTCACAAATGGTTGTTTCATTATTGCATGGATTCGTCTGCTATTATCTCCAACGCAGCTTCTAGAAACCAAGATGATACAAAATAAAATTCTTCCCCATCATACCAGTATTTTTCAGTGGAATTTCTATTGAGTAACAGTATTTCTTTTAGGATCAGACATTTCTCATAGTCCTTAAGAACAGACACAATTATCTCCCATCATCCCACCTCCATCAAGCAATGGAGGATCCAGGGGTGTCTGTAGGGTGGGAAGAAGGGGGGTATTAACAGTGTCAAATGGCAGATCCCATTGGGCAACTGAAGTCCACCTTTTAGAAATGTATTTTGCAATGATCAGCGCATATTAGGACAGTCCTAAATGGATTTTTCCTTTTTTTTCTAGGGTGATATTTTCCATTTCAGGGTATTTGGCTGTACTTCAGGCGAAGTTCAGTTCTATCCTCTGAAGGCAACCTGTTTGGGTTTAATTTGGACTTACTTGCAAGCAAAAGTGCAGCTTTAATAGACTGCTCCCCCCACAACATAAAGAGATCCGGATCCAGTCTTGGATAATACATGAAAACCTCCCCCCTTCCTTCCATATGGTCCAATTTGACTGGTTACTTGCGATCCTCAGCGTGGCCTAGACCAGGGGTAGGCAATCTTGGCTCTTTTATGACTCGTGGACTTCAACTCCCAGAATTCCTGAGCCAGCCATGCTGGCCTAGACTGTATCTTCTTACCTCCCCTCTCTCTAAGTATCTGCGCATGGCTCTCTTCTTCTGAATCTTCTTGTTACGGCAGCATACGAAGGTGAGCAAAACAAATAAACAGAAGGCGAAGAGGCAGCCCACAATCACCATAGCAATCATTGTTGGCGCTTTCCTAAGAGAAACACTGTAGGTTAGGACTGGGCATGCATTCACAGCATGTTAAAAACAGGAAAGGAGAAAAGGGGGTGGGGAAGAGAGAAAGATTTCAGCAACCTGAACATCCTAGCTTCCATCTGGAAACATGCTTCTGGCCTTCAAGCTGCAATTGATGAAATGAGAAGGCCGTACAAGTTAAACCTTAGTAGTGGGATGGCAGACATGTAAGATGTTTCTTGAGGGAGAGAGAGAGGCTGAATAAATGGGTAAATATAATGGGCTTAATCTGAATCGGATTAAGGAAAAAAAACTCAAGCCTCTCAGATCTTTTTTAAGAATTACCACAGAAAATGAAAGTGGAACATGATGAACAGTCTAAAATAGGATGCTCACATAAATAAATCCCCCAACAAGCATATTTATTGTTCTTTGAGAAGGTTGCTCATAAATCATTTTCAGTACCACCAATGCCTAATGTTGGAGATGCTTTAGCCAAGGACCGATGCATCTGGCAAGTGGACAATCAAGAAAGATGACTATCAGCAGTGCTGCCCAGCATCAAAGAGCTTGACATAGTTCTACAGCCCATTGAGAGCCAGAGATGGAGCAGCAAAAGTTTGTGAGCAATTCCTCCTAAACGCTTCCATCATTCGCCTCTCTTGGAGAGCAGAGCATCTTCTGTACCCCTTTTACTTGCCTGTTGTTCCTCGAGGCTCTGAGCCAAATTGTTTTATAATCTCTTCGGAGTTTCTCCTTTCATCACTGGAAGCTGCATCTCACCCATAACAAGGGGGTTTGGTGGGGGTTGGCTACTTGTTTTGTGTTTTGCCAAGTGAGCCTAATTCTAGAAGTTTACTTTCCAAGCAAGTACAGCAACAGCTCTTTTGAATGAAACTCAACTCTTAGGGCAAGTTTATAGGTATAAGCACATAATATTTGCTTGATGGTGAAGTGGGTGGCATATAAATTTAGTAAATAAACAATGGGATTCCCTTTTCTTGGAATGCTTTTCTGACTTCCCAGGCTAGCCTAATTTCCCGATGTTCCTTCATCGAAGCATTAACCCGGTTTGACCCTGCTTAGCTTTTCAAGACATGACAAGGTGCTGCTACCTAACTGGGCTCCAAGCCAACAGGGAACCCAAATTCCAGCAATCCTCTTCACAATTGGCCTAATGACTTTCTCCCCTGCATTCTTGGCTCTGTTTCAAGAGCACGAGAAAGAAAGAGAAAGGAAATGAGCTTCCACAAAAAAAGGTGAGAACTTCCTTTCCCTTCTAGTTATGGGAGAAAACAGATGGGTGGGAAGGAGATCAAAACGGGATGATCCTCGCCCTCCGGCAACAGGCCAGAACCTGCAGTAGCCAGCCCGTGCCACCCATGAAGGCCTCCGGGCAAACCACAGGCACTGGTGGGGAAAAGGCAGAAGGTTGCAAATGGAGCAGGAAAAAGTGGGAATGTGATGAGAAGGACCCTTTTAAGTCAACCCTGGGAGAGGTAGAGATCTTGCACCAGGGTGGATGTGTGAGATCCAAATCTATATATTTGAATTTCTTCTTAATCCTCCCCTCCCACCACTTTTTTGAAGTCTCTCGTTCTTTCTGAATGAGGGAGCTGAGAGCTCAGATTGTGAAACTATTTTTTTACAGGAGTGCCTGCCTTAGATGGAAGGACAATAACAACAACAACAACAATGGGGAGGAGGAGCCAACAGAGAAAAGAAAGGCTGTGATCCTGGCCAGTTTTCCTGTCTTGGCCGGTGGAAGCCTCTACAGATGTGCCAAAGTGCTCCTTCCAAATTGGAAAGGGGTTAATCTTGGAGAGAATCCACACCACAATTACAGTTTAATTTGGAAAAGGAACTTGAAAGAGGAGCCCTTTGGCTAAAAAAAATTGTCAAAATAAGGAAGCAAAAGCATTTATTTTAACCAGGTTTTAATGGAAAGAGGGCTTAACTCTTCAAAAGAAAATATAATCTGTTATCTTCAACCAGCTGTTCACACAGTATGCTTTGGGGCAGAAGATATAGTACTATATACCACAACCAGGAATTGCCTAAGTTATTTACTAGCTGTTGGAGGAAGATGTGCAAGAGAGGAGCAAAATAATAATCACGGTACAAAATAAATTATCAATTTCCAGTGTTCCTCATAAACTGAGTGAACTCAGTGGCTTTATCTAAATTATGATAATTCTAATCCTAACCTGAATAAATCTGGATCCAATTCATTATCTCTATCAGCCTTGCAATCATTTTAAAGGACAGCCACTATTGTCTTCAAGGAAGACAAGAGAGAAAAGTACAGTGTTTGTCTACAGTCAAGATGTGATTTATACTTAAGAAGTGATTCAAATCAGGGGCATCACAGCCTATGTGGCAGACTGTCCATCCATTGAATGGCAAGATTGGAGATGCTAGAGATGGAATTTAGGACTCTCTTGCTACAAGGATACGGTGATGTAACACCATAGGTAAGGATATATGATGTAACCCAACAATGCTTTGTAAGGCTTAAAACTTCTTTCAGATATTAGTAGTAATCTGAGAGCACAGGACAAATCACAAAGACTCTTTCTACCCACCCACTCTTTTTATATCCTCTCCCCATTTCCCCCAGACTCCCCAAGAACTCCTAATAGGTACCTGGGGCCAGGCAGTCCCACAGTGAAGCAATTTTCAATCTCTGGACCAGAACACCTGTAAGAAATGGAAGCACAAGGTTACCTTGCTTACCCAAACCCAGATTCACTGAATTTGTCCAACTGCTTGTATTCACACAACACCCCAAACCATAAACTAACCACAGCAAATGGCAGAGTGCCATGAGCCACAAAACAGCCTATGATGAGAACCCAGCCAGTATGTTTCTTACAGAAGAACTAGGTAGGTCAAGGGAATGGTCGCCTTTTTTGACAAACCCAGAGTCTTGCCAATATTACTCTCCTGTGGTTTTCCAAGACCAGGAGCCTATGAATTTTGTCCTCAGGGGACTCTATAGGTCTTTATTTTTATTTTTTTTCAGAGCTGGGCAAGCAATCCAATTCTTGGTCCCCAAGCCCCATGAGTAACCTGACATTAATAATGCCTTGCCCTAACAAATACTTCAGTCCACAATCTCCATCCTGATAAGAGATTTGGGGCTGGTGTAAACATCAGGCATAGTTTTTGGACTTTCCCCCATTTCCTGCTTTCAGAACCATCTTGCCCAATGAAAAATTCTGAAGAATTCAAACTCTTGCACCCTTGAATCCTTTTATCAATCAAATATGATTTGGAGATTCCTCCCCCCCCCCTCTTCGCAAGCCTGCAAGGCTTGTTTTGTTCCTTGTGAAATGATTTGGACTGACGGACTTATTTTCATTATAAGGACTATGGTCCTTTGATCCCACAAATACAATGCTGCGCCTGAAGCTTCTCCAGGGAGAAACAGTACTGCCTATATTAACGCCAATGCAGTTTTCCATTGCCTTCCTCACCTGGCTGTGTTCCTGACATTTGAACAGTACAATACTTGTGGCTTCAGTCATAACAGTGCCAGCAAGAATTTTAGCCAAGTAACTATCTGAAATCATGTTCTTAGTGCTACTTAAAATATCTTAATTTCACACTTTGGACTGAAATCACTAAGCCCTGGGCTCAGATCTGGGAGCAGAACTCTTCACATCTCTTGAGTGTGCCCTCTTCTTGAAAGACCCCTGAAAAAGTTGGATTTTTCCAGGCACTTTGATAAGATATGTATGTGGCTTCTCCTGGATTTTTTTGTGCAAATATGATAGCCTGCCCAGATAGCACTTGTGCACCTCTGGGGCGGGGTGGGTGGTTGTTAGAGTACCAGCAATTAAAATCAATAAAAGGCTGTAACTAAGATTACCAACCAGAAGTGTGATATAATAAGTGTTTCTCAACCTTGGCAGCTTGAAGATGTGAGGACTTCAACTCCCAGAATTCCCCAGCCAGCATGGGAGACGGAATTCAGTGAGAGATATTGCTGGAGATGACATGATTGCAACAATCTGGGTGCTGTTTTTTTTTTTAGCCCTTACCCCTCTGTGCAATTCTCATGGCACAGCCAGCACTCCTTTTTGGCATCAGGATACTTGAAGATTAGTCCCTTCGCCCCAAGGATTCCTGATGGGCAGCTTTCAACACAATGGGGCCCATCCTTATAGTTTGCACAGGTCACACACTCATCAGCCCCCTGAAGAGGAAAACAGGACACCATTTTATATGGGAAGGGGATGATCCCAGAGCCTTGAGTCAAAGCAAGTAGGCAGTGCTCAGGATAGAGACAGTTCAAAAGTTAAGGTTATCAATCAAATTTCCGGAATATCGAGAGGGACAATTCAGAAGTTAAGGTTATCAGTCTTCCAAGGAACAGGGTCTTCACTGCCCTCCAAAAGCTAGAGCAGTGGTTCTCAACCTTTCTAATGCCGCGACCCCATAATACAGTTCCCCATGTTGTGGTGACCCCCAACCACTTATACATCACCGGGTGCCAGGGGCGTGGCCAAAGAAAAGGGGGAAAAATGGCAGACAGCCTTGTTTGGCGACCCCCGTGAAATGGTCATTCGACCCCAAATGGGGTCCCGACCCACAGGTTGAGAACCACTCAGCTAGAGGAACATCTCTAGAGACAAAGAGAGGAACATCTCAGCTCTTCCTCCCTAGCCCTCAGGAAAGGCTGCATCTAGAAAAGCGGTTATAGGATAGGAAATAGGAGCAGCTGTTTTGCCCCAGGACAATGCCTGGAAATTATTTTAGAGGTTTTAAACTGCCTCTTGCCTCTGAAAATGCAGTGAGTTTAAATGAAGAAGTAATTTAAATGCAATCCCTCCCTCCTTAGAAATGTGTTCTATCATACTTGTCCATTACAGGTGAGGCCTCCCTCGATCCTCTGGCATTCTGGATGGCACAGCAAGCAAACATTCCCTTGAGCAAACTCTCGGTTCTCCCTGCATGCAGCCAAGGGAAGGAAGGAAGTGTTAGAAACAGGGGTCTGAGATGGAACCAGGGAGGAGGGAAGCAGGTGCCCTGGGCTATTGTTCTTACCCCTCGTAGAAGTTGCAGGAGACGGTGCAGACCCCTTCACGGCTGTAGTTCTGGCAAGAGACACACTGGTCTGGGCCAGGCCCCCAACACCCATCACTGGAGCAAAGAGGATCGCAGACCTTTCCCTCTTGCACTGACAGAAAAAAAAAAGAACGGATCTGTCAAAGCCCCTTTTGTTCCTCTTGAGCTGTCTGAAGGAAAACAGATCAAATCCAATCATCTCAGATTATATATTTTAATCAGAACCCTTGGGAAACACCGAACGCTCTATTTGATAAATAGTTCTTGCTGTCCCCAGACAACACCGCTATTACTGCAAGGAAGAAGCATGCTCGTTGGCCATATTGTCGAGATGTTAGTGGAAGATTTGTGAGCAGCATTTGGCCAAGATAGCTGAGGGCAAAAGAGAATGAGCATTTTCTGAGTATGGATATTATAGGGTTGCAGTTCTGTTCACTACAATGGGATAGGAAAGGTGTGTATGAAAGACCTGTGACTAGTCTCTCCACCAGCAAACAATCGCATGTCGAAAGCAGACCCACATCATTCATTTTATAAAGACACTGAGAAGCAGAAGCACAATGCAAGTGGAAAATGTACGTGTCGAAGTGAGCCTGATCAAATCACTTTCCCTTCTGAGGCCAGGCTGAAATTGCCATAATGAACCAGGCACGTAAGCAGGAGAGGACAAAGAGCCAGGAATCTTGACTAAAAGATCCATTTGGGAGATAAGAAGATAAGAAGGAAACTTATTGAGGAAACAAAGGAAAAAAAGTGTTACCTGAAGCAGACAAGAAAGCTGGGCCTGAGCACATGAGGAAAACCCCAATCCTAGCTAACCAACAAAACAAGGTAAAAAGAGGTTCTGAAACTGCCCAGTCCTGAAGTCATTTCTGCATCCAGACTTAGCAGCTTCCATCCCTCTAGCTAGTGCCTGGCTGGTAAGTGTGAATGAGTGTGTGTGTGTGTGTGTGTGTGTGTGTGTGTGTGTGTGTGAGAGAGAGAGAGAGAGAGAGAGAGAGAGAGAGAGAGAGAGAGAGAGAGAGAGGGAGGGAGGGAATGAGAATATGAATGAGAATGAATGTACCTTGTAACCAGAAAAGTTTTGCTACTGTAAATCAACTAGATCTCTGTATATTCCAAAGAATCTGATATGCCTCAGTGGTTGAAAGTGATTTGTTTGTAAGTCCCCAATTATTTCCTCATTGTTGACTAGGGTTCTGTATCTTGTCTTTTCTAGCCACACCCATCTGGAAAACCCAGTAGAAAGCAAAGGGGGCTTACAAGATCCACATTCCACAACAGGCTGTGTGTGTGAGTAAATGAAACACTCCTTCCTATGAGAGTGCTCCCTTCCTAGGAAGGTGAAGAGGAGAGCACTCCGGGATGTCCTTGTAAGGTTAGTCCTGGAGAGGAAAAGTGACCGGTTCATTCCTAAGGGATAGATGTATTTCATGCTGTTTCCAAATTCTGGGAATTATAAATTAACATATTTGGAAGGCAGCAGGTTGGGCTGAGTAGCTTTATGTAATGCACATGTGTGTTTGCTCATATAATTCCCAGTCCAGCAGTTAGCCGCATCCTGTATTACTGCTAGAAGAAACAACTGCTGCTGTTTGATTCTGTTCATTAATGGGATTCCTCCACAGCCTCGCTCTCTTTCCTATTATTCTCACTTACTGCATTTCTTGGGAGATTTGTTACTCCTGATGTTAAGATCTGCCCGTCGGCGAGAGAGACGTGTCCAGTTGATGGTGTGATAATAGCAAAGTTGTCGATTCTCAGTGATGTAGACCTGGCCAGCACTGATCTCCCGAAGGGAGCGGAAGTCTAAGGAGGTGATGTTCATGTTCTTCATGATCAGCAAAGAAAATCCACGGCTAAGAAAAATACACAGCAGACTCGGTCTCAGAAGAGGAATGGAAGCAACTCCGTTAAGTTCATAAGTACTGGAAGCACAATGAGTGTGGAAAACTGGCAGAGCAGAATCCAAATACGTGTCTTCAAACCCATCTTGGATCACCTACAGAGGAGTCTCCACATGCATGAAGGTGCTAGATTGCAAACCCTTTACTGAAGAGTGGGGAACCATGGTCCTTTTATGACTTGTGGACTTCAACTCCCAGACTTCCTGAGGCAGCATTCTCAGGAAATCTCCAGTTCTGGGAGTTGAAGTCAACAAGTCATAAAAGGGCCATAGTTCTCCACCCCTGCTTTACTGGAACCCACTATGGCAAAGCCTTTATTGTAGGGGCTTTTCAAACTTGCCAACTTCTCTTCAGCAGAAAAGGCAAATTGGAGGGATCGCTATCTTTAAAGTTTCCTACAACTCAAACGCAAAGGTAAAATATGCCGATCAAGGGAAAAAATGCTTACTTATATAGGCTGCGCCCACCAATGGTGACCAAGTTGGAGAAGATGCTGAAATTCTGCATGTGCTTGGGCCATGACTGGATATTCAAGTAACCTACAGCAACAACAAGTTGTTAACTTTTGAATCCCTTATATATCTTATTCCATCATTGCCAGGCATTCCCCTCTCCAGGTGCCTGCAAATAAGACTTTTTACTATGCAACTGACCTGCCTACTAACAGAATTTTGCAAGGGGGCAGCATTGTCCTTTGCTATTTACAGTCCTATCAATGCTTCTTTCATTCTGTTTCTTTGTCCAGAAAATCCCCAAAAGTAAGATGAAATAATTACGTCGCGTACGTTGATTAGTGATATTAAGAATCAAACTTTGGGGGCTACCACTATGCCACCTCCAAAATTCAATTCCCTGCTTGGTGAATTTTATTATTTGTCTAACTCCCAGAATGCCTTGCCTAACGTTCTGGTATTCTCCAGAAAGCTCCCAGAAGGACTAGGTAGCGAGACTAATAGGTCACCACCTCCCCAAATAGTCTTTATTATGCAAGTTTTCCTTTCAAATAGCAAAACTGTACTTTTCATGTGGTACACTGTGGCCTGCATGGGTCTGAGGCTGATTTATTACATCATGCATAGTCTGTTCCAAAATCTCATTTTATTTTATTTGAATTTTACTTTATTTGTATTCCATTTTTTCTGCCAACATAATGCTCAAAACTCACAAAAGCAACTAGGACATTTGGGCTTTTCTTCTCCCAAACCCCAAAGTATAATCTTCTTCAGAGTTCCAAATACTCTTCCAAATAACTTTCTCTTATTTCTAGTTTTTCTTCAAGCTTGCTTCATGCCAGGAAGAGGACACCAGAAAACGGATGAAATATCAAAGAGCACTGTCCTTAACACCTGCACTACACCCAACATGCTACATATTCCATATTTCTCTAAAGTTCCCTGCACCCAACTCACCAGTGATCTCTCGCACTGTCCTGAAGACATTGAGTTTTTCTGGATCCAGTGCGTTTATGTTGTGCCAAGGGTCTCTGTGGGAAGAATGGAGCTGATCAGAACCAATGGAACACCTTGAGAAGGAATCTGATAGCTGTTTTCTTCAAGAATTTCATTACAGGAATACATATTACAGGGTATCTTATTCCAACTTGATTTATTTCCATAATTCCAAGTATGTGATTATTTACATGACTATGAATATAACATCCATAAGTTAGTACCGTGTTTCCCCGAAAGTAAGACCCAGCCAAAAAGTAAACCGTAGCTTGATTTTTGGGGGTGGGCCTAATATAAGCCCTGCTCCAAAAATAAGCCCTAGTTTTGAGGTGAGGGGCATGCCTAAAAATCAAACTAGGGCAGGGGGAGGGGGAGTTAAACTGACTCACATGCCCTGCACCTGCTTACCTTACCAGTAGGACCGCCGCATCCGGGCTTCCCACGCCCCGACACTTGTCAAGCTGCGTGGCTCATCATGCCAGTGCCGCCGCTCACGGCAGGAGATTGCATAGCGCTTCGGGCTGTTGCTGCTGCTCACAGGATGCTGCATGGTGCTTTGCACCGTTTCTGCTCCTCACGGCAGGACACCACATGGTGCTTTGAGCCATTTCTGCTGGTCGCGGAAGAAGCTGCATGATGCTTTGCTCTGTTTCTGCTGGTCGCAGCAGAACGCTGCACAGCTCTTCGGGCAGTTTCTGCTGCTCCAAAGCACCATGCTGGCAGGAACGGCCTGAAGAGCCACACGGTGTCCTGTTGTGAGCAGCAGAAACGGCCCCAAGCGCCGTGCAGCTTCTTGCCGTGAACAGCAGAAACGGCGCAAAGTGCCATGCAGCCTCCTGCCATGAGTAGCAGCAAGCGGCCGCAGAAGAAATCAAGCAGTAGTGTGACAGGTGTCGGGGTGTGGGAGGCCTGGCTGTGGGGGTCCTAAAATAAGACATTCTCTGAAATTAAGACCTAGTGCCTCTTTTGGAGGCAAAAAAAATAAGACTGGGTCTTAATTTGGGGGAAACATGGTATATATTAGTTAGCATATGTTAGTATCTATAAGTTAGTATCCACAAGAGTGCAAAGAAGCAACAAAAAGGATTCGTGGGCTGAGGGACAACCTATTCTCCAAAGCACTTGAGGGCAGGACAAGTACTGGATGGAAACTAACTAAGGAGAGATCCAACTTACAACTGAGGAGAAATTTCCTGACAGTGAGAACAATTAATCAGTGGAATAGCTTGCCTCCAGAAGCTGTGAATGCTCCATCATTGGAGGCTTTTAAGAAGAGATTGGACAGCCATTTTTCTCAAGCTGGCTCAGGAATTCTGGGAGTTGAAGTCCACGAGTCATAAAAGAGCCAAGGTTGCCTACCCCTGGTATAGGCCACTATAGGGTTTTCCTGCTTGAGCAGGGGGTTGGACTAGAAGACCTACAAGATCTCTTCCAATTGTTATTCTGTATTCTATAAATTCAAGGATAGCCACATGCTTGTTACCAGGAAATGACCAAATTCCAATAAAAATGGTGGCAACTGGAGGGCAAAGAAGGAAGGATAAAAGAGGTGCTATATCTATTTCCATTCCAATTTTCTGGAGATATGACAGAACAACCCAAGCTAAGATTGACCATTCAATAAATATAGCTATGTTTTAGAATGAGACACCATCTTTGCATACTTAGGTGGCAGAAAGTCAGGATATAATTTGAAATAACACAGAGAGACACGTACTTACCCTTCTAGACCAGTGATAAGAAAATCCAAATTGCCCAAGATTTTGGTGCAGTTTATAAATCGGTCAATGTTGCTGGAATCCACTGTCTGATATTTACTTCCAATACCAGTCCCTTCACAGGCTGTAGAGAAGAGAAAGTATGAGCTCAATAGTCAGTCGGTAAATGACTCCAATTTAGCCTCCTACTTCATATATTCCCAGGAAGTTAATGGAAAAGGGAAGGTTTAGGGCAGAGGTAGGCAACCTTGGCTCTTTTATGACTCGTGGACTTCAACTCCCAGAATTCCTGAGGCAGCTTGGCTCAGCTTGGAAACCTCTCCCTTTCCCCTCAGCATAGCTGGCTCAGGAATTCTGGGAGTTGAAGTCCACAAGTCATAAAAGAGCCAAGGTTGCCTACCCGTGGTTTAGGGGGACTGGGTTCTGCCCCAAGTTAGAGTCATACATTTACCCTTTGTAATCATCGGCATGCATATTTCCAAGGACAAAGGTATAAAGTCCCAGAGTGTCTGTTTTTGCACTGGTTTCTTTAAAAACATCATAAGCAGCAGTCTAATACATTCCCAGTAAAACCACTTAGGTTTTTCTAAAATAACATACAGCTAATTTGTCATGCACAAGCCATGTACGCCAAGGACATCTGGAGTAACTGAATGGGATAGCTGATATATGATAGAGTCAGTGATCCTGGTAAAATCAGTGTTAGGTTAGCCATTGTAGATAAGTTTCATTGGCCTCCCCCCCTCCAGCCTTTCCCTTAATTTAGTACAAGAGAATAAAAAATAGTGTTCTCCCAGAGATAATATGATTCATATTTTCATTCATTGGTAGATGCTCAGGCTAACATGCAAAAGTTGATAATATATTGAGATAATTTTTAACAGCTCCACCCCTCCACCCCATACAGAATAGATGATGCAAAATCTATAAAACATATATATATACAAATTCAGTTTTTCAAACTTCACTCTGGGGTTCAATGTGATTGTGGTTTTTCTTTTTACTTCTGCATCCAGGAAATAATTTGAGTTGGGAGAATTAAAAATTAAAGTTACACCAACTGGAAGATTACATCTGAGGCCAATTAGTAATTTAGAAACTGGTTTTGCCTAGGCCAATAAGAAGCATGAAGAAGCCTGCTCAATTTTAAAGTAATAGATGCTGGGATGATTTTTTAAAAAATAAACAAGTGCCTTTGATGTTTTAGTTACTGACAAATTTAAGTTTCATTTGAGGATTGTGGGCATAAAGACTTTTAGAAGGACTTAAAAGTTAAGAGTTTTTGCAGATGATTTGGTGTTAGTTTTGGAAAATCTTTCAAAGGGAATTGAATTATTAATGGTTAAATTTTAAAAAATTGTGCATTAGCATTATTAAGATTAATAAACCACTTGCATGGGACTTCCAAGTCTGTAACCCCTAATCCAGTGTTTCTCAACCTTGACAATTTTAAGGCATGTGGACTTCAACTCCCAGAATTCCACAGCCAGCATTGCTGGCTGTGGAATTCTGGGAGTTGAAGTCCACATGCCTTAAAATTGTCAAGGTTGAAAAACACTGCCCTAATCCCATATAAAGTCTGAGAGTCAGAAGTGCTTCCAATTCATACCTTTTGGGCAGAGTCCCTCACAAAGCTGACAGATCTTCTGGCCATTTTTTTCAACTTCCATTTTATCATTGGGACAGGTTCTGACACAGGAGGTCCGATCCACCACAAAATTATCTGTGAGGAGGTAAAAATAAAGGGTGGGAAAAATAAAGCTGTAAGAATTTTGTAGTTGGAGAATAAGATACTATGAATCAAAGAAAGGCTGGGAGATAGAAAATCAATCAATCAATCAATCAATCAGAATAGAGCTGGAAGAGACCATAGAGGTCTTCTAGTCCAGCTCAAGCAAGAGTCCCTATGACATTCCAGACAAGTGGATGTCCAGTCTCTTCTTAAAAACCTCAAGTGATGAAGCACCCACAACATCTGAAGGCAAGCTATTCACTGGCTAATTGTCCTCACTGTTAGGAAGTTTCTCCTTAACTGCTTCTTTCCTTGATAAGTTTCCATCCATTGTTTCTTGTCTTGCTTTCTGGTGCTTTGGAAAATAAATTGACCCCCTCCTCCTTGTGACAGCCTCTCAAATACTGGAATACTGCTATCATGTGCCCCCTACTCCTTCTTTTCTCTAGACTTGCCATTCTCAAATCCTGAACTGTTTTTCATATGATTTAGTCTCCAGGCCTTTAATCATCTTAGTTGTTCTTCTTTGCGCTTTTTCCAAAGTCTCAACATCTTTTTTGTACTGTGGTGACCAAAGCTGGATGCAGTATTCCAGATGTGGCCTTACTAAGGCTTTTTAAAGCGGTACTAATACTTCACGTGATTTTGATTCTATGCCTCTGTTTATACAACCAAGGATTTTATTAGCTTTTTTGGCTGCCGCCGCACACTTATAACTCATGTTTAAGTGATCATCCACTAGGACTCCAAGGTCCCTCTCACAATTACATCTTGGGAAAGGAAACATAAAAAGGAAAAGTCCTAAGGGATTCATCTATTTCTGTTTCATGTGAGTACATCACCGTATTCATGACCTAGGACTTACGTGGACAATTTTTAACACACACACCACCATATTGGTATTTAGCATCAGGATTGGTTTCCAGCTGAAAAGTGAGTCTGTTGTAGATCATTGGCTGAGGACAGAGGGTTTCACAGGCTCCACTGTCATTGAAGTGACGGCAGGCCTGGGATGGAGGAAAGAAAGTAATCAGATGATGAATTAGATTTTTCCCCCATCATCTAGGCTGAGAGACCTTTCTCCCCCACCCTTCCTGATAGCACACAACAGAACCTGAACAAATTAAAACGAGACAAGATTTGGGGTGGATATTGCATAACAAGTGCTTCAAATTCTCCCTGGAACCTCACAAAAGATTGTAGATCAAGGGAAACCAGGGAGAGAAAATGTGGGAAGGAACACAGGAGGGGCAGAAAGGCAGGACACACTGGTTTTGGGATGAAAACAAAAGACTTTAGCATTCAAGAACTAGCAAAGATACAAATGCAAAGATTTAGCAAGGAGGCTGGCAGATCCTGGCAATGAAGCTCCAGAAGTCAAAAGAAAGTAGTAGGAATGAGACAGTATGACGTTTTGGAAGTATTAGCAACAGGGTAGAAATGAGGAAACTAGGCCAAATGCAGAAAAATAGGCAGAGTTGTTAGATGAGGTAATGGCAATTGTGAAGGTCAAAACCCGGAAACTGGTCCTGGTTACGTACAAAGCACTTTGTCTTGAGCGGCCCAGTGCAACCTCCTGCACACTCATCGTGACAGCATTCATTGGGGTTGGGGCCAAAGCAGCGTTCATTGCACTGAGCAGCACAGATGGTTTTTGTCACTAAGGTAGAGATAGAAAAAAAAAATGCTGGTCAGTGTCTTGGTAGCCCACTAAAGGTCACTCATTGTCTCCAATCTAAGGATTTGGGCCATCTACATGAACACATTTAATATTGATCCTTTAACACAGAACCTTTCTAAATAATAATGAAAATGCAAGCCTTTGGGATGATATAACCGATATGATGCTTAAACTGAACTCTAGCAAACTCTAATCCCAGGGTTTAAATGACACTGAACTGCCATGAATGGGAATGGGAAGATAGCTTTGCTGTATTTGCAGCTTTTTTTTTTTTTTAAGGATGATTTTGCACTAGTTTTCCACAAACGGGAAACACAGATAATTTAAAGGAAAAAAATAACACAGTTTTCTACACAATAAACCATTCTGAAAAAGCAGAATGGGTTTTGTTTCTATCTGCACATGGGCAACTTCACTGTTGAAAAATCAACTTTCTAATGCAATCAACACTTGACTACAACTCCCACAATCCCCAAGTAGCATTGCAACTGCCCGTGTTGGTTGGGAAGTCCCAGACCTAGAAGCTACTTTTAATAACATGTTCAGACAATGTCTGATTCTAATTTAAAACTTAACTGGAATTGCTAGAAACATGAGTTAGAGAGAAAGGAATGTGATATGTAACTTTGAATATATATTAGTAAGAAGAAAACTATTGAGCAATTAATTAACATATTGTTTATGATAATTAACTATTATCTATTATTTCTTGTTAAACATATAAACCCAGACATTAGGCTGTTTGTTAAATATTGAGAATGTTATTTGGAAAAACCCTAACCCCAGCTCCAATCCTAATCCCAACCTGAACCCAAATCCCAATCCCAATCCCGATCCCACATCATTCCTAACCCTATAAAAACTAATAAAATTTGCATTAAAAAAACTTGACTGGAATTGATCTGGGCTAGTTTAACTATCTGCAAACTCTTGCAACCTTCCTTCATCACAAGAGCTCAGCCATAAAAAGAGGATTGAAATTGTCAGATGTTTGGTCTGTTTTCCCTTTTCTTTAACCATGATTCAGATGAGGCAAAGCTTGTATATACATACATACATACATACATACATACATACATACATACATACATATTCCACAAGGGACCAGAGCTGAGCAAAGCATTTGAAAATGATTTAGCAGAAATGGAATATCTTTCTGAAATCTTAAAGCAGTCCCATCCTTTGCAATGATGATGTGGCTGCTTTGAATTCCACCTCCAGAAGTTTTAAGATGCTTGCCTCAAGAAGGGACATGCCACTTACTGTATTTTTCCGTCTATAAAACGCACCCGTGTATAAGACGCTCTCCGTGCCGATCAGCTGTTCGGCAGAGTGCCAAACAGCTGAGCTGGCAAATCCGCATATTCGGAGGACAAGAAGATCTTGTCCCCTCCCCCTTCCTGTTAGTGGCAAGCCCACAGTGGCTTGACACCTGCACCAGGCGGCATGGCAACCCACACAGGTATGCCCTGGGCTACGGAGGTTACCATTATTTTTCTGTGTATAAGACGCACCTGATTTTTGAAGAGGGTGTTCGCAGGAAAAAATAGCGTCTTATATATGGAAAAGTACGGTATTTATTTATTAATCAAATCTCATAAAAAGTGACTCTGGGCAGTGTCCCAACACTTTATGCTAAGACACTTCATGAAACAGCTTTCAAATTCTTTGCACAGCCTATAAAGAATTGCCTTGAACGGAAATTTTCCTGTTTATGGCACCAGTGGGGATGGGGCTGCAATGTATCATAATTTCAAGCTTCTGGCTTCAGTGCCATTTGTTCATGGGAGAGTTCACCTTGTTGAAAAGATAGATCAAGGGTCTTCAAACTTGGCCCTTTTATGACTTGTGGATTTCAACTCCCAAAATGGGAGTTGAACTCCACAAGTCATAAAAGGGCCAAGTTTGAAGATCCCTGAGATAGATCTACCCAGCTGCTAAAAAAAAAAAAAAGCCCTGAAAAAGCGGGGGGGAAAAGCTGACTCCCAACTTTTAATTAAAGATAATACCTGAATTATGCCAGATATTTTTTAATGCTTACATTTTTGACAGTCTTCAGGACCAGGTCCCCAACAGTGGCCATTGCAGTTTTCATGGCACGGAGTACCTGTATAGTGGGGGGAGGAAGACATATAACATCGCAACAAAGTTAATGAGCTTGATGGATTAAAAGCAGGGTTACCATGCAAGGTGAATGCTAGCCTTATACCAAGCGGCTGTTCTTACACTTCTGGAACTTTGGGTTGAACCCTTTAAAATCTGCGAAAGCTTCATTTAAAAATTTCAAAACATGATCACGGGGCAGTGTGACCAGTTGTGAATGCAAATTGGTTGCCAAGCACCCAGCTCGTGGTCAGGTGCTGGAATGGCTGGAACTCCATGGACCAGTCATAACTACCATTCATTCAGTGCCATCCTAAGTTGTTTATTTATTTATTATTTAATTTATATCCTGCATTTATTATTATTTTTAAATTACCCAAAGTGGCAAACATATCTTATATTTCTTTCCCCTCTTAATTTCCTCACAACCACAACTCTTTGAGGTGGGTTGGGCTGAGAGTGAGTGACTGGCCCAAAGACAATTAAAAAATACTTATATCCTTAAATAAAACAACTCTCTCTCTTGTCTAATTTCTGATTCTCTAACCTGCTGTTTGTCTTCATCTACTATGCTTTCTTTTAAGCTAATGAACCAGACCTTGCTGACCAAAAAGTCATAGATTCAGGATTTACCAATATTGGTACTGCAACTCTCAAAATTCCCAACCAGGAATGTAACCATTAATCTAATTTTGGGAACTGCCATTCTAACGTATCTGGAAAACACCAGTTTGGGTAGTGCTAAGCCATTGATCTGGAAGGAGCACACAGTCTTTAAAGTCTCCTGTGTAAATGAAAGGCCAGCGAGAGGTGATGTGAACAAGTGACCAATACTCACATTTCTCCCCATTGTCATGGACCACTGCCTGGAATTTTGGCTCCCGGATGATGTCTTCCCAATCAATTGTGTTCACGTGACACAGCTGTTTGTTCTTTCCAATATAGACGCCCCCAGAGAGTATTTCTGAAAAAACAAAAACTGGAATTATTCCCTCTTGTACACTTAGAACTGTGCTACACCTATATATAAGATACCCTTTCATGTCTGCTGTTCTCCTGGCTTCCTGTTGAAAATTACTGACAGGCAAAAACTGTGTTGAGTATCTCCATCAAGCCTGTTTCGGAAGGCAGAACAAGGAATGGAAATGGGATCTTGAACATTTGATTCCTGTAATTTTAGAAGTGTAAAAGAACTTCTAGGTACTTCTGACTTAATGCAGAAGCTCTGAGCATTTAACATTTGTATCCAAGGACTTTTTTCAGACATTATTATGTATATGTGTAGATCTTCATCTCTGTTCAATTATTATGTGCCATCAAATTGCTGTCAGCTCTTAGTGACCACATTGATTTCCTCCATGATGATCTGTATAATCATACAACTTCAAAAAGGGAGTAGAATGAACTCTCAAATAGAGTCTGAATTATAAATATATTTCCTTATTTGTTCCATCTCTTCTCCAAAACACTATTACAAATCTTTGGCATTATGTCCTATTCCCTTTTCAAATATTTTTTTCACGCTGATTATATGCATGAATGCATGCATACTTACAAACTACTGATCCTTTCTATATACACCAAATTAGCATATTTGGTTCTTGGAGCCAGATGTTTAATCAAATGAATCCAGGCCAAATATATCATTGCCCTCACCAGCAGTTTGGAATGGGTACCATCTCTGTGTTTGAAGTCCAAGGAATTTCTTCAGGTAGAGAAAGGATTATGGATATTTGTTGTGTAAAAATGGCTGTAAGAGGAAGTTTCCGAAGTATAAATATTTCATATTTATTGATGTGCTTTAGTTCCTGCCTGGCATGGGAGTTCCCTTAGGCAATTCTGACTAACTACCTGACTAAGAAAATATAAAAAACTAGACTGCCAGAACACATCAAATGGGGTCCAAAGTTACATGTCATATCTTTGGATTGGTTCCCTAAGTGACTGATTACTTTGGATTGCCAAGGAAATAATTTTATTATTGTCGAAAGATACTCTGGATCTTCTTGAATCCTTAAAAGTTTTCATATAGATAGCTATTAAATTGGTTAAATTATTTGCTAAAGGTTATATTTGGAGAATTTTAAAATGCATATGGAGTGGGGAAAGATAAGCAATTGTCAACAAAGGCCAGCAATGTTTACATTTAACTAACTCTGCCAATATGAATTTTTTTTCTAAAGAAATCAGTAACAATTGTCTATGTACTGCTCCAGGGATCTCCAAACTTGGCAACTGCTGGCTGGGGAATTCTGGGAGTTGAAGTCCACAAGTCTTAAAATTGCCAAGTTTGGAGACCTCTGTACTACTCAATCATACCTCCTACTAGGAGGCATAGTTAAGACACATAGACTACTTCCATAAATTCATTTACTGAAATGTGCAGACTAGCTTGTTTAATAATAATAGTAGTAAAGTTGGAAGGGACCTTGGAGGTCATCTAGTCCAACCCCCTGCTCAGGCAGGAAACCCTACACCATGGGTAGGCAACCTTGGCTCTTTTATGACTCATGGACTTCAACTCCCAGAATTCCTGAGCCAGCATGGCTCAGCTTGGAAACCTCTCCCTTTCCCCTCAGCATGGCTGGCTCAGGAATTCTGGGAGTTGAAGTCCACGAGTCATAAAAGAGCCAAGGTTGCCTACCCCTGCCCTACACCATTTCGGACAAATGACTGTCCAGTCTCTTCTTAAAAACTTCCAGTGTTGGAGCATTTACTGGTTCTGGAGGCAGGTTGTTCCACTGATTAATTGTTCTCACTGTCAGGAAGTTTCTCCTTAGTTCTAGGTTGCTTCTCTCCTTGATTAGTTTCCACCCGTTGCTTCTTGTCCTGCCTTCAGGTGCTTTGGAAAATAGCTTAATTCCCTCTTCTTTATGGCAGCCCCTGAGATATTGGAATACTGCTATCATGTCCCCCCTTGTTTCTAACAAGCTTTTGGATTTTGGCTTGAGATAAACTAGAGATGTCAGCAAAACATTCACTCAACTAATCCCAGCAGGAATTTGCTTTTGTGGGGATGGATATTCCCATCATCTCTCACAATTAATTATTTTGGCTAGAGCTACTAGGAGTAATTTAGCCACAGTGGAAGAGTCATGAAATTCCTGTACTAATATAGACACTTCTGCTGGCAGGAAGACTAAGTAGCAGATGCTGGCATATTCTTCATTAATGTAAACCAGAATTTGACCCACAATTATTAGAGTAATTTTTAATTAGGAAGAAGTATACAATACAGCCCGTATTCTACTATTCTATGAAGTATACAGTTGGTAGCATGAAATACATTCTAAGTCAGGGGTCTTCAAACTTGGCCCTTTTATGACTTGTGAACTTCAACTCCCAGAATTCCTCAGCCAGGCATGCTGGCTGAGGAATTCTGGGAGTTGAAGTCCACAAGTCATAAAAGGGCCAAATTTGAAAATCCCTGTTCTAAGTACTAGCAACAGACATGAACCCTCAAAGGTATTTCTGTGTAACAAGCAATTATACATTTTAAAAACACATACTGCAGTGTCTTTCCAGTTAAGGATGTGCTGTCATCCAACAGAAAAATCAAGTGATGGGAATACAGATAGACAGGTGTTGTCTTTTGGTGCCATGGTAGCTGAACAATAACAACATCAATATCAACCAAACAGGTTGGTTGGGCAGGAATTTACAACATGCACAGACCTGCTGCAGGTTTTCTGCCTTACTCTAACTCTGCTGACACGATCCCAAGAGCTTGTACACCTAGTCATCTGGGTTTAACTAATCTACTAATCAATAATATGGACAGCTAGTCTCTGGTCATCTGAGTTTAATTTTAAAAAATGTTAAACCAGACTTGGAAAACTCTTTGCTAATGTATATAGGTAACCAATCAAAACTGAGATTTCACCAATCAAAGCAGAGAAGCAGCCACCACGAATCACAGAAGGCAAAAGCTGAGTTAGATTACCTCAGGGGTCTTCAAATTTGGCCCTTTTATGACTTGTAGACTTCAATTCCCAGAATACCTCAGCCAGGCATGCCTGCTGAGGAATTCTGGGAGTTGAAGTCCACAAGTCATAAAAGGGCCAAGTTTGAAGATCTCTGTGCTAGGGCAATTAAATTTACTCTCAGGATGGTTTGCATGATCTCTATGCAGGCTTAAAATGTAAAGATGGCACCAGAAGTAGAAGGTTGATAAACATGGAGATATCCCTGTGATTTGTTTTAATCTAGCAGGGGACCAAGAACAACACTGACCAGAAAACTCTCAGAAGATAAGCTATACCTTTGACAGTTGTGCAAAATATAAATTAATCTTTGGGGTTTTATTTGTACAAAGCATTTTAATATAAGGATTGATCTGGAACTTCAACCAGCCAAACTATTTAGCATTTGTTCCAGAATCTGGATAATGTAATCCTGTCTAGTCACTAAGAAAATGATTCATAGAACAAATATTATATTGTAGCAATGATTTCTAGAGAAAAAAAATGTGCTGAAAGAATCCTCCTGAAATGCTTTTCAAATATAGGGAGTCCTCAACTTACAACTGTTGGTTTAACAATATTTTGAGTTTATAACAGCCTTTGAAGAAAGCAACTTACAACCTCTCCTCAAAGTTATGACTATGGCACCACTTCTGCAGTCACATGATCACAATCCAGATGTTTGGCAATCGGCTCACACAATGGTTGCAGCATACAATAGTGTAATCACACGATTGTGATTTGCTAACTTCCCAGCCAGCTTCTGACAAGCAAAGTCAATTAGTAAAGCTGGATCTGCTTAAGTGTTTCACTTCAAAGACCACATGAATCATTTAACAGATGTGGTCAAAATGGTCATAATATTGAGTCTGGTCATATATGACTCGGTTAATGGAAGCATTGTTTAGTGACTAAAATTCCAGTCCCAACTGTGGTCATAAGACAGGACCACCTGTACATACTTTGCAATCAATAAAATTGGATTTAGTGTTCCTTCTTTTCCTGTTCTCCTCCCATTTGATTTATCCACAAAGAAATCAAAAGTACCTTCCTGTATCAGGCATAGTTTGTTCCAGGCATTGAAAATACTCAGTTCACCAACTCATTTAAGCCTGTGAAAGGTCAGAGAACTGATTTGCAAACTTATGTGCTGCCTTCTTGAAATAATGTTCTACTTTTCTAAAATTTAACATACAAACAAAATTAGTGACAAAAATTAGTGGACCAGAGGAATGCTGTGGATATAATTTACTTGGACTTCAGTAAGGGATTTGATAAAGAAGACCACAACCTACTACTTGATAAGATAGAAAAATGTGGGTTAGACAGCATCACCCCCAGATCGATTGGTAGCTGGCTGACCAGCCGTATTTAGCATATGGTCCTCAATGGAACAGCATCTACATGGAGGGAAGTGTGTAGCGGGGTGTTCCAGGATTCTGTTCTGGGCCCAGTGCTCTTCAACATCTTTAACGATGATTTGGATGAGGGTCTAGATGGGGAACTCATCAGATTTGCAGACAACATCAAGCTGGCAGGAATAGCCGACGCTCCAGAAGATAGGTTTAAGATACAAAAAGGATCTTGACAGATTTGAACATTGGGCACTATCTAACAAAATGAAATTCAATGGTGAAAAAAGTAAGGTTCTACATTTAGGCAAGAAAAACCAAATCACAGATATAGTATAGGTGCTACCTTGCTCAACAGTAGTAACTGTGAGAGGGATCTTAGAGTCCTAGTGGACAATCACTTAAATATGAGCCAGCAGTGTGCTGCAGCTGCCAAAAAAGCCAATACAGTGCTAGGGTGCATTAACAGAGGGATAGAATCAAGATCACATGAAGTGTTAATACCACTTTACAATGCATTCGTAAGGCCACATTTGGAATACTGCATCCAGTTTTGATCACCACGATGTAAAGAAGATGTTAAGACTTTAGAAAGAGTACAGAAAAGAGCAACAAAGATGATTAGGGGACTGGAGGCTGAAACATATAAG